ATGCCCCCCCACTGCGCATGCCCCAAGGATGTCCGCACCCCGCCAGTTCTCTTCTGACTGCTGTCATGTCAATAACCAGAGAAGAGTACTGAGGAGGACAGCAGTGGGGAAGGACGGGTGGATGCTGTGACTTCACAGAGTCGAAGATCACCAGTTACAGGTAAGCAACCTGTTTATCTTCTTCGTGGTCTCTGTTCATCACACCCATGGGATTATGCGCCTGTGCTGATCCGAATCGGTGGTATGCAAAGCTCACAAAGGGATTTTCGCGCCTCCCTCCCAGGCATGTGCGGGAACCCCACTGCGCATGCCCCAAGAGGCGGGGTGCGGACATCCAGCCAGTTCTCTTCTGACCGCCATGCTGTTAACAGCTTGTTTTCTGCCGGTCAGTGAAGAAACGTTACTTTCCTCTCACGAGGGATTGCTCAAACCATTCTTTTTTCCCTTGTGCTACGTTTATTTTATTCTTTACTAAAAAAAAAATATGACTTTTTTCTGAGGGTTGCCACACCTCAGGTGGCTCCCTGCCCTCCCCCCCACCCCCCGCTCTGAGGTAAATTTTACTTCACCTCATCCGAGAGCCATCTTTTTATTTTGGTGCCATTTAATTCTTTTATGGCCGAAAAGTGGGGATGGTTTAAATTGTGTGTCGGCTGTGGCAGCAAGCTTGCCACCCGTGACGGCCACACACTCTGCATTCTCTGCCTTGGAGAAACTCATCACCCAGACGCCCAGACGCTTGTCGCCATTGCTCCAAGTTCTCCAATCAGACCCGCAAAAACAGAGCTGCGAGGCTTCGAGTGGCACTTTGGGAGTCCGCACTGACCCCCTTGCCTGCCGGAGATATGTCTGCTGGGACCCCTTCGGACTCTCAACCGACAGCACTCCTGTTGACATCGGGATGTACACTGGCATCAACACACCCCCCCCCCCGCATTGCCTTACCTTGCTTGTTAAAGGCAACCTGTACTGTCTTTCGTCTGCCTTGTCAGCACCCAGTGCCATCCACTGGCACACACCTGGGGAGCATATGCCGGAGTGACCGGACGATGCCATCCAACTGTTATTTATTGATGCTACTGATGACACTGTTATTTACTGAGGTTGCTTCATTGTTGTTTAACAATTGGTTGTGTTTTGAAGTTGGGATTGTGTTACCTACTGCTACTGTAACTCCCCCTGAGCCTGCTTGCAGGGGAGGGAGGGCTAGCAGACAGGTAAGGCAGGCAGGCAGGTAACCGCTTCTGCTGAAGGGGAGGTAGGAGATGAGGCCTCTCTTGGAGGAGAGACGCTCAGCCTAAACCCCAAGGAAGCAGGAGCCCCCTTCACTCACAAACTCTCTCAAATGCAACACAAAGCCCTATACGGCCAGGGGCCAGCGTACCTTCGAGACCACCTCTCCCCATAGGAGCCCCATAGAGCACTGAGGTCCACCAATCAACATCTTCTGGTAGTCCCCGGCCCCAGGGACGTCCGACTTGCCTCGACCAGGGCCAGGGCTTTTTCGGCTAGTGGAATGAGCTCCCGGGTGAGATCAGGGCCCTGCGGGATTTATTGCAGTTCTGCAGGGCCTGCAAGACGGAGCTCTTCCGCTGGGCATTTGGTGGAGGCAGCAGACCGTCCCCCTCTTCCTCCCACCAGCTTCTCTGGCCCTAACGCTTCCTGCCCAATTCTCCAGGCCAACTGTCCATCAGCGGCCTGATTTTGATTAATCATCTGACCATTTTTATAATTATGCGGTATCTTACGGTTTTATGTGTAAATTGTTATTTTAATATTGTTTTAATTGTATATTAAATGTTGTACACCACCCTGAGCCCGTTGGGGAGGGCGGTATATAAATCTAATAAAATGAATTAAATGAATAAATAAAACACAGAACCTTTACCTTTAATACGGGCTGCCCTTTCTTCATAAATTCGTAACTCGCTAAAAAGGAGAGAGAAAACACACCATAATTCGCTTATCGCCCAAGTTTATCATTCAGAGGACTGGATCGTTAGCTCATTCCGAGCAAGCTAAAAAGATGTTTTGTCAGTTTGCACTCTCAGCACTCTGCGTACAGCATCGCACGCAAACCTAGACTTTTAAACAAGGAAGACGGAAACACACGCACAAAAACAGAGAAGGAAAACTAGCCATGAATCCCTTAAGAGCACATGGCAAAAGAATTCTCTTTCCGTTTAGACCCCCCCCACTGACCAAGGATTTTTCTTCTCCCCCCCCCCCCCCCCCAGGTATGGCAGGCGGGACGGGGGGGGGGCAGGCTTCAAGCTGACCACACCCTCCAGAGCATATCCTCCCACGCCTGTCTAGTCTCCCGTTGGGGCCGTAAGAAGAGAAGTTAAGTTTTCCCCCTTTACTGCTTCCTCCCCAAGTAAAAGGAAGGGCAACGTACTCTTGCTGGACTCCTCAAAGGCAGCTTTTATTAGCTGCAAAATATCGACACTGTCGCCGATCCTTGCATAGTAAGAACAGTCGTGGCCGAGGGCATCCACCAACGAGACATCGGCACCGTTCTTGAGCAAGACCTCCACGGCGTCCTTGCAGCCGTATTCGCAGCCTAACATCAGAGCAGTCCTGAAGGCAGAAAGAACAAGGACATGTCGGCTTTAATCAGCTTCCTGTGGGTTGTTGAGGGGAAACCCACTTGACTCGGAGAGAGCTCTACGCGATGGAGGCGTTACCGGTTCTGCTTGTCTCTCGCGTTGACATCAGCACCTCTGTCGAGCAGGAGCTGACATATGATTGGACGGCACATCTGAGTGGCCAGCACCAGTGGCGTCCTTCCATCCTAGGGGGGGGGAGAGGAGGAAAAGGTGAAGGAAAGATTGCAAGGAGCTCGGCCAAAGCAGGAGGGCTCCGAAGCGGCACAGCCAAGACTTACTCCGTCTCTGGCATTCACCGAGGCTCCGTGATCGCACAGCAGCTGGATGCTGGAGGGGCAGTCGGACATGGCTGAGGGAAACAGAGGGACACGGTCAGCAAAGGGGGGCCGTTAGGTACCGGCCAGAGAGCTGCTGGACCCCGAATCTCAGCTGTAGTCCTAAGAGAACCCACTCTGCTTCAAAGCAGCGCCATCCCATTGTATCCCGCTATTGCTTTGCCTGCTCTGACAGAGGAGGTTTCTCAGCACTGGCCTCCGAGGGCCAGAGGAAAGGGGCGCCGTTCACAGAACAGATCCAAGGGGTCTAGACTGGTATTTGCTTAACCTAATGCTGAATGTGCAGCATTTGGGAATGTCAGCTACGCCGCCATTGCAGGTGGTGGTGGTGGGGAAGACGGCTGAGGAATAGCTTCTTGCTGTGCTGGAATCTTCACTTTCATTTCTCCTCGCTGTGCCTTATCCAGGGCTCTTTTTGTAGAAAAAGCCCATGTCCCGCCACGGGCTCCTCCACAGCCTCTGAGGCTACGGCGGCGGGACTGGCACGACCCACGCCGGACCCTCGGCATACCCGGGAAGACAAAACTCCCAACCATGTTACCAGAAGTGTGGTCATCCAGCCACACCCACCTTTTGCTTGTTATTCTGTTTACCTTGTTTGTTGCCAAAACCCAGGGCCTTTTTTTGTAGCAGGAACTCCTTTGCATGTTAGGCCACACACCCCTAATTGTAGCCAATCCTCATGAGTTCCTGCTGTTGGGTGTGGCCTATTATGCTAATGAGCTCCTGCTGGGCGTGGCCAACTCGGGAGCCAGCCAGAACTCCGTTCCTGTGCCTTCCTGCCCAAAGATAGCCCTGGCCCTTATCTCTTAGCCTAGGCCTGTGACCTTGGTACCTCTCTCCTGATGCTTTGCTGGGAATGTGAACCCATTCGTTTAGGAGCGCTTCAGCTAATTCCCTGATTGGCTCAACTCCATCGGGGGACCCCACTCTGAATCCTGTATATCTTCCCCTCTCCCGCCCTTAGGGTTACTTCTGACGCTGAATGTAAGCACAGATGACCTGCCTTTACTGTACTCAATGAACTTGAGCCTTCCGAAGGAACGTCGTTGAGGACGGATTGCTGCGGGATTCTGACAGGGAAATGACACCAAGCATCTTCATACCGGCCTTGCAAAGAAGTCTGCAGGAACTGTTAGTCCCGCACAAGACGTGAGCAGCTCACTGAACACCCAATACACCCCCCCCCCTCGTATATTTGTTCAGCATCCAGCACGCCCGTGACCTGAAATAAGAGAAGCGGCCCTCTTTCTGTCAGAGCACCGGACAGAGACTCCTGCCTGCCACAGACAGCCGGGCAAGCGGCTGTCGACCAGGCGGCCTCAACGCCAGGGGCTCGTGCAGGGCGTCGAGGGGCAAAAAAAGGGGCACGGCGGAGAAGCACCCTTACCTGCATCGTGCAGAGCAGTTCGGCCCTGGAGGTCGGCATTTTCTGTCGGGCAGTTGTACTGTCGGAACAGCCAAAGGGATTTCGTCAACAGGGCTGCACGGCGCAAAATGGGTTTTGCAAACTTGTCTGGATAACTGATTAGGGAGGGTGGCCTACACTGCTGTGCACAGCTTCCTCTAAGCCGGATCCTGTTGGTTTTAAGTAGGATCCCACAGGACTGTGTCCCCGGGACCGTCTTGCGCTCTTCAGATAACAGCCTGCTGGAGATCCCTGGCCCCAAGGGTGTCCGGCTGTTTGCAAACAGGGCCAGGGCCAACTCTCTGCTAAATGACACCCGGGCCCTGCGGGACCTTATGCCATTCCGCAGAGTCTGTAAGGCTGAGACGTTCCGCCAGGCTTTTGGTCGAGGGCAGCAGCGCTTACCACACTGGCTGGCACCCCTCCCCTTTTGTTCTGAATTCACTTTCCCCCTGCCCAGAAAACTGGCCGGTAGTCATGAATTGGGATAAGAGAGAAGAAGAGATTGGTTTCATACCCCATAGCCCTTCACTACCCGAAGGATTATCAGAGGGGCTTACAAACTCCTTTCCCTTCCCCTCCCCACAACAGACACCCTGTGAGGTGGGTGGGGCTGAGAGAGCTCTTGACAGAAACTGCTCTTTTTCAAGGACAGCTGTGCCAGAGCTTGTGACTAACCCAAGGTCACATCAGCAGGTGCGAGTGGAGGAGTGGGGAATCAAACCCGGTTCTCCCAGATCAGAGTCCACGCACGACACTACACTAACCACTACACCAAGAGATTGGCTTTATGCCCCGCCCTTCACTACCCAAAGGTGTCTCAGAGCGGCTTACAAACTCCTTTCCCTTCTCCTCCCCACAACAGACAGACACCCTGTGAGGTAGGTGGGGCTGAGAGAGCTCTTGACAGAAACTGCTCTTTTTCAAGGACAGCTCTTATCAGAACTAGGGCTTGCCCAAGGTCATCCAGCAGCTGCAAGTGGAGGCGTGGGAAATCAAACCCGTCTCTCCCAGATTAGAGTCTACACCAAACTGGCTCTCTATAAAAAAACATTATAGGACTCCACTTTGGATCTTTTATTCTGAATTTAAATTTGCATTGTTGTATATTGAATTTTAATGTTTTGTATATTTTTTGGCATTCTGCCCCTTTGTACATCACCCAGATAAGCTGATAAGGGCGATTAATAAATTGAATAAATAATAATTATTATTATTATGTCATTTCTGTACCACTAAATGTATCGTGCTAATAATTATGCTATACTTCAGGTCTTTCTGGTTACTGAATGTCCCATTTCTTGTGTGTGGCTGTACCCACTCCCCCCCATGTAATCCACCTCGAATCCCTGTGAGAAAGGCAGCTACAAAGAACACCGATAAATAATTAAATATTCAATGATCCCAGCATTTCGACCCACAGGAGCAGTTTGTCTCACTTGCGCAAGGATCTCACGAGGCACTTACGCACCGTTCTGTTCCCGTACGCTGAATGCGGTTTTCAGCTACACAAATCAAGCCAGACTTTCTCCCATGGGGACAGCAGCTGGCTTGCGGGTTTGGCGCTCCGCCCCAGGAGAAGCATCCCTGGCGACGTCTGCTCTCCCTCACAGAAGAGCCCTGGGCTTGCTTCTTGAATGCCCCGTGGCACCACCACCCTGGCCCCTCCAGTGGAGGTGTTCAGACAGAAGGCAAAGGCTCGGCTGTGCTCTTCTCCCCTTGCTATTATTCGGTTCTGTCGAATTTACAGCTCGGCTTTACTGGAGCACAGCCTGGGCCGAGTGGCTACTCAGTGGCAGTGACGGTGCAGTGGTTAGAGCGTCTGCTGGATTAGGCTGGTGGGACCAGGTTCAAATCCCCTCTCTCTGCCACGGAAGCTCTCTGGGTCACCTTGGGCCAGTCCTACATTCTCAGCATAACCTCTCCCACGGGACTTTTTGGGAGGGACAAAACAGAGGAGAGGAGAATGAGAGAGTCGCTCTGCCCCCCCCCCCACTGGGGACAAAGGCAGTATGCAAACAAAGTAAGCAAATGAACCAACAGCGGCTGCTTAAAATTCGTGGTTGAATCTACTAACTGCGTTTCTGCTCTGTGGCCCTTTTAAAAAGGTTTCATGCACTGCTTTACTTTTACTGATGCTTTGGAGAGCCAGTTTGGTGTAGTGGTTAAGTGTGCGGACTCTAATCTGGGAGAACCGGGTTTGATTCCCCACTCCTCCACTTGCACCTGCTGATGTGACCTTGGGTCAGCCACAAGCTCTGGCTGGCACAGCTGTCCTTGAAAAAGAGCAGTTTGTGTCAAGAGCTCTCTCAGCCCCACCTACCTCACAGGGTGTCTGTTGTGGGGAGGGGAAGGGAAAGGAGTTTGTAAGCCGCTCTGAGACTCCGAGTGAAGGGCGGGGTATAAATCCAATCTCTTCTTCTTCTTCCTCTTCTTTACTCGTTCGATCATCAGTGCACCAGAAGCAAGGATTTTTCCTGAGCATTATTCTTACACGCTGAATAGAAATTAAATGAATTGTCAAACATTCAGTACCTGCAGCAGTTTCTGCAGGCAGAGTGCATGCCCATATTTGGCAGCCAGGTGCAGAGCATTCCTTCCTAGAGAGAGGATAAAGCGACAAGGAAAACGGGAGCCATAAAGCAACACGCCACAATGCTCAACAATACCAGGAACTTACTTAAACACATACAATTATACACCGTTGGCTCTGTAAGCCATGCTGGTACCTCTTAGTCCAAAAGGGTCTAAAACAGGGGTGTCGAACTCATTTGTTATGAGGGCCGCATGTCACATAAATGAGACCTTGTTGGGCCGGGCCATGCGTGTCATAAAATGTAATGCCAGGTAGCGGAGTTATAAACTTTATAAAGGACACAAACACAAAAGTGTTTTTTTTTAAACTTAAAATAAAATCATGCTTAAAACATTAGCCCTCTTGCAATATTTTGTTTATTTAACAGTGTCTGATAATTGACCCCTCTTGCTCTGAATTATTTCATTAAAATGTCTGTGCTGTTGCAATCTTGAGTATGCTGGTCAGGTGTGTATCTGTAAGCTGCAAACCTACAATGACGCAGCAGAAGCAGAACTGGAAGAAGAAGCAGAAGACAGCCAGTTCCACTGCGGGCCTGACAGAAGCCCTCCGGGGGCCTGATCTGGCCCCCGGGCCACATGTTTGACACCCCTGGTCTAACAGAAAAAAGACTGGTTTGAACTGTTAACCAAAGCAGACTCTTGTTTGCATCCTTCTGCCACCTCCTTTGTTTCCGTGTGCTGCACCCCACCCTCCCAAATCCACCCCATCCCCACCCAGAACTCCAAGCCACGACTGGGAATGCAATGGGTTCACAAAGCCAGAAGAAAAGCATTTTTCACAAATTATTGGAAGCCTGTTTAGGACTAGGACTGTTTACATTTTACTTGATACGTTTGAGAAACACACGAACAGTTTGACCTGCCCTATCTTCCACTAACTCATTTAGGAACAACGTTATCCTGACATTTTCAAAGGGCCACCGTACCTGCGGCATCAGTAGCGACAATGTCAACTCCGTGTACAAGAATGGTATTCAGACAGTCGAGATTCCCCTTTGAGGCTACAACGTGGAATCTAAACAAGAAAAGGGGGAGGAAAATTAGACTGTTGGGTACATGGATCACAATGAATTGGGGGGGACGACACACAACATGAAGAGAGGTGAACTTGAACTCAGTTCACAAGGGAAGAACAACCCAGTGGAATGCAGGTTAAGTCTGATTACAGTCTCTTGTCTACTGCTGCAGCAAGCCTCAGTCATGAGTTATATGTGTATCTCGGTAATCTTTACAACAGCCTGATAAATCTGAGGCAGAAGATTTTTTGGCCGCCTCCTTCTAGCCTAGCTGAGAAGTCCGACTGCCCGGTCCCGGTCCCAGTGAGCAGCTTGCCACCCATTGCAGCTCCTTTCAATCTCAGCCTGCACAGAGAAAACAGCCGCTGATTTGTACAATCACGTACAAATCAGCGAAAACCGCTCTGGCTGCTTTCCTGATTGAAACCCGAGGAGCGCCGTGCTACGTGAGCGAGAACTACCTCAACAGAATCACTCACCGTAAGCCACCCAATAGACGTCTCGTGGAAGAACCCCTGTTATTAGACGCTCTCGCCACTTATGATTTAAGGCCAAGGCACAGCTCTGTGGAGTAACTTGAGGCTTCTATTCAAAGCTCTGGATATTCAGAAAAGTTCTGAAATGACTACAAGAACTCCCCTCCTCTTTATCATGTGGGAGGACAGGTGTACAGGAACAAAAAAAGAGACCTGAAAGAGGAGCAGACCTCACACAGGTAATATGAACCACATGGGAAAGACCGGGCCATTTTCTTCTGGTCTCCCAACAATCTTTCCAAGCAAATCAGACACACGCACAACCAGATTTTCTGAGAAAGCCAGGCAGAGACAAACTAGTCCCTTGCTTTCAAGTCAGCTGATTATTACTACACAAACAAAAAATGTGATCTGTTCATACCGACACCGGCTAAGCAAATGCAAAAAAACTCAGGAAAACACCCAGTTTTCTTGTAAGGATCGTTTTTAGACAATGGAATATATCACATGGTCTAGCAACAGCAGACCCTCTGGTTGACCGTGGGCTTCCTTTTAAATACCAATGGATTAAAAATAATAAACTGTGCTTGGAAGAATGTGTACTGGATCTATTCCCTTTGTTTTGCAACTTACTGGGAAGACAGAAAGGGAATGAAAATGCAGTATTAATGTTACAGTTATAGCTACGCATGACTTTCTTCTTTTGTAAAAAATCTTGGATATATATTCGCTCTTCTCAAATTCAAGAGAAGAATTTCTTTGTCCTGTATAACTGCAGAAGCAGCTATGTAGTTGGGGGGGGAAAACCCGACACTCGACATTCTGAAGATTCCTAATAAAATCAAAGCAGTTGGTCCACTGTATGTCTCTCATGTATGGCTGCGAGAGTTGGACTATAAGGAAGGCCGAGCGCCGAAGAATAGATTCGTTTGAACTGTGGTGCTGGAGAAGACTCTTGAGAGTCCCTTGGACTGCAAGGACATCAAATCAGTCAATCCTAAAAGAAATCAACCCTGACTGTTCCCTGGAAGGCCAGATAATGAAACTGAAGCTCAAATACTTTGGCCACCCAATGAGAAGGGAGCACTCACTGGAGAAGACCCTGATGCTGGGGAAGATTAAAGGTCAAAGAAGATGGGGACGGCAAAGGATGAGATGGTTAGACAGTGTCACAGATGCAATGAACATGAAGTTGAGCCAACTTCAGAGGACGGCGGAAGACCGGAAGGCCTGGTGTGATCTGGTCCCATGGGGTCGCGAAGAGTCGGACTCGACTGTGCGACTGAACAACAACAAAAAGTTGGTCCACCAATATGAAACATGCTCAAGAAGCGGTCATCACTCCTTGGCTTGGGAGCCACACACAGCTCTCCTGAGCACTGTTCCCAACATGGCACCAAGTGAGTGGGCCAGGCCATTGCCCAGGAGGGCTTGTGGTGGGCAGGTGGTTGGCGCCTTGAAAGAGCTGCTGTCACAGGGACTGGAGGATAAGCAGCGAGCCTTCCTGAGCTATGGGAGGGCCAGGGGTGTGCGAAAAGGGGCCCCTCCACTCCAGCAACCCCCTACCCTTCCCCACAGCCCCCGTGCTCTCAGCTCAGCACCCAGGAAACCGATGTGAGGACAGCAAGCTGGCCACATCCAACCCCACCACGGCAGTTACCCAGGAAAAGAGCGAGCGGGCTAGGGGTGTGTGGGCGTAGCCAGTTCACTCCCTTTCTCCACAGCCAGCTTGCTGTGTTTGTGCCAGTTTGGTGCAGTGGTTAAGTGTGCGTGCACTGGACTCTAACCTGGGAGAACCGAGTTTCATTCCCCACTCCTCCACTTGCAGCTGCTGGATGACCTTGGGCAAGCCATAGTTCAGTCAGTCAGAGCTGTTCCCTCAAGGACAGTTCTCTTAGAGCTCTCTCAGCCTGGCCTACCTCACAGGGTGTCTATTGTGGGGAGGGGAAGGGAGAGGAGTTTGTAAGCCGCTCTGGGACTCCAAGTGATGGGCGGGGTATAAATCCAACCTCTTCTTCTTCTTCCTCCTCCTCCAGGCATTAGGACAATCTGGAGAGACAACCTGACATGCTCAGAGGTAAAGACTTCTGAAAACACAGGCAAGGTTGTATTCGAAATCTTGCAGCACAACATCAGTGCTAGACATTAGAACTACTGGGAAGAGGACTATTCCCCAGAGAGGGTTCAAATAATGCAGTGAATTCCCTGTACAAAACAAGGACGTTTTAGGATGAAACACAACACTGGGAGCGCCTGAACGTTTGCAGAACTGTATGTTAAGGAGCTGCGGTGGCTCAAGTGGTTAAGACGCTGAACTGCAGGCTGTGGAAGGTCGGTAGTTCAGCAGTTCGAGACCCGGGTGTGCCGCATGACGGAGTGAGCTCCCGTCTCTAGTTCCAGCTCCTGCCAACCTAGCAGTTCGAAAGCAAGGAATTGCAAGTAGATCAATAGGTACCACTTCGGTGGGAAGGTAACAGCGTTCCGTGCGCCTTGGAGTTTAGTCATGCCGGCCACATGACCACGGAAACGTCTTCGGACAGCGCTGGCTCTTCGGCTTTGAAATGGAGAAGAGCACCGCAACCCTAGAGTCGGATTCAACTGGCTTTCGAGCAAGGGAACCTTTACCTTTACCTATGTTAAGGCACCTCCGTTGAGTTCTACATCACGTGAGCAGGGAATGTGGCACAATCGTAATTACCTTGCCGGCATACACAGAGCGGTGTCTTGTACCGGTAACAGACTGCTGTTAGAGGGCAGTTTCGAAAGAGCCCCTCCCCACGCACACCCCAGGAGAATTCCTCCCCCGGACAGACGGCCCCCCCACAGCTCGGTACTCACGCTGATCTCCCTTCCACATCCAACTTGGTGGGATTCACCCCCTTTTTCGAAAGGACCGATGCGATCTTCTCCACATCACCCCGTTCAGCTGCCTTCATTAGCCGGTCATCGTATTTGTTCCAGTCTGCAGTCAGCTGTGCGAGGGACACAGAGCAAGTGTGTTTAGTGCTCGGCGGAGGAAATCTAATGGAAAAACGTGAAGCAACATCCCGCAAGGTGCTACTGATCTAAGGAAGGAGGAGCGTCCCACCTATGTCTGCCCCGTGCAGCTGGGAGGGAGGCAGATTTCGCTGCAAGAGCCGTAACAGGAGGTGAAATATAATAGCCATCGAAGGCTCTAGCAGTATAAATCTTGAAAAGTGTTACTCATTATTCAGAGTTACTGCCTGCTTAATGGGGGAGTACTTAAGAGATTCCAAAAGGTGAATGAACTGCAATGTCTCTGTACTTTGAAAGCAAAACTCTACATGTTTTTGAATGTTCTTAAAAGTCTGAGACAAAGCTAGAATTCTCTTCTCCTCCACAAGGCGAGGCCTGTCGAACCAGAGAAAACCCTAACCCTGACTAAACTGGAGTACACGGCAGTGGGATGGAAAGATCTTTCCCAGATGTGGGTTGCTTGGACTGCAGCCAGTTGGTCTCCCTTAGAGCCTTCTTAGAAGTGAACTCCAGAAGGCCCTCCGCAGAGTTCTCTGCATTTCTTCTTTTTTTGACGAGAAAAACTGGTTTCAAGCCGTTTGTCCTCAAGACCAAGGCTCCCTCTAAGCTACGGAGTCTTATGAGCAAAAATTCTACCTTGCGAGCTACTGGCATTAAAGTTGTGAGCCAGCGATTTGGCTACTGCATAACTCAGTTTGCTCTGGAGCCATCCTTCCTGAGCCAAGACAAAAATGTGTCTGGAGCCCTCCTTCCTGAGCGAAGACAAAAATGTGTGAGCTGGAGGCTAAAAAACTGTGAGCTGGCTCACACTAACTCAGCTTAGAGGGAACACTGCTCAAGACCCTGGAAGTCTCCTCCTCTCACCTCACCCTCCTTTCTGTAAGTACTTTGCAGAATTCATTTAAATCAGAGGTGCTTCAAAGGATGGTGCTCTGCCTTTGAACAACAGCAAAGCGTGCTGCTTTTGAAACTTCCACCTCCCAGCACCACCAGGTGGTATTAGTCATGTTTCAGTACAGAGATAAGAAAGAGCTTCCTGGACCAGCTTCGTTTCGCTCATATCGCACCGCGCTTTCCTTCGATGTGAAGATTGTGCTCTGCCTTAAAAGCAGTGGGCTTCCCCACTGTGCCACGTATATCCGCAGAGCTCGAAAGGCACGGTGTTTGACTCAGTGTGTCTGATTTAGAGATGGGAAGGCCCGGAAAAAAAACGGAAACATTCGGGGGGAAACCGGGTTTTTTCGGGTTTTTTCCTGAAGCCTTTTTTGTTTTTTTCCGAAAAATTGAAAAAAGAAAAGAAAAAAAAATGACTATGGAACAAGACGCATTTCTTCCTTTAGGAGGTGCTATTGTCAGAAGAAAAGAAAAAGGTTTCAGTTTTGTTTTTGCATGTGGGTGGGTATTCTGTTTGTAATAACTGTTTGGATACACTATATTTTTAATATGCTAGTTGTGATAATTTCATGCCAAGTAAAAATGTCCATAGTCATATTTTATGTTCCTAAAGTAACAGAATGACTTTCAATTTAGACAAATGAAATGCTAATGTAGCATTTTTTTCATTTTTTCCGAAAATTTCTGTTTTTTCCGGGAAAAAACTGGAAAAAAAACGGTTTTTTTCCCGAGCTTCAAAATTTCCGGAAATTTTACATCTCTAGTCTGATTCAGACCTGGGACCACCCGGTCCCACTCCCCACTCTCCCACAGAAGACTGCTGGGTGACCTTGGGCCCGGTCACAATCTCTCAGCCTAACCCACTCCACAAGGCGGTTGTGAGAAGGCAGAAGAAGAGAGAATGAAGCAATAAGCTGCGCTGAGTACATACAAGGAAGAAAAGCAAGATATAAACAAAAATAAGCATGCTTTTCTCTGGATACCTCCCTGCCCCCCAGATCAATATACGGGACAATTTCCTGGCCGATGGACCCGGAGCAATGTCAGGAAAGAAAACAGGAAGTGGCCCTCAGAGATATGGAAACTTCCTTCCTCTGTCCCCCCCCCCCCATCATGCCGCAAGTCAGCCCCTTCAACACACACTCTCCTGCTTCTGCACGAGCATTAGACGAAACGACAGTTCGGCTCTGCACCTTCTGTGGTCGGTCAGGACCACGAAATCCAGGAAGGAGCCACAGATACTGTGCCTGGACCATGGAGTTGACCTAGCCAGTCAGGGAGAGCCTGAGTACATCTTCTTCTCCCCTTTCATGGGGAACTTTCACATCAGGGTGCATTTTCAACACCCAGCGTAAGTTGCAACTTTCCAAGCATGATCATCCATTCCGCTACACAGACTAGGCCCTCAGGTTCACTGGAGGACGGTCTCATCGCTCCAACCTGACGGTCCCGCCACAGAGCAGGGAAACAGAACTACCTAGATGAGGTAGGGATTGCTGTGTACCCACAGATAAGCAGAAACATACAAGTTTGTAAATTTAAAAAAAAAAACCAATGAACATTTTGCACCGCACAGGAGCCACAGAATACTGCCTGCAGCTGCATTTAAAGATAAGAAGGGGCGAGGGAGAGGAGGGAGGGAGGGGGAAGCCGGCCCCCTGGACCTCCTTAACGGTTTAAGTTTTGAACCAAGAGGAAAGAAGGATATAAATGTTGTAATGAATTAACTGAGGGGAGGGGCAAATTAGGATCAGAGAGGATACAATCTTTACAACCCAGTTTGGTGTGAGGATACAATCTTTACAACCCAGTTTGGTGTTGTGGTGAAGTGCGTGGACTCTAATCTGGGAGAATCGGGTTTGATTCCCCACTCCTCCACTTGCACCTGCTGGATGACCTTGGGCAAGCTGTAGTTCTGATAAGAGGTGTCCATGAAAAAGAGCCGTTTCTGTCAAGAGCTCTCTCAGCCCCGCCTACCTCACAGGGTGTCTGTCTGTTGTGGGGAGGGGAAGGGAAGGAGTTTGTCAGCCGCTCTGAGACTCCCTTGGGTAGTGAAGGGCAAGGGGTATAAATCCAATCTCTTCTTCTTCTTCTTCTCTAACCCAAATTCTGACTCGCCAAGATTTTACAAGGGCTACTTTGAAGCCAAAAGACCAGGCAGGGATTCAACTGGAGGAGAAAAAAGCATCTCCAATGTGAAGGGCACTCCATCTCCTCCCAGTTTATTTATTTATTCATTTATTCAGTTCCAATTAATATTCCGCCCTCCCCACAAGCGGGCTCAGGGCGGATGACAAAATTCCTTGTGCCGGAGCTCTCCAGCTTATATTTTCCTAGAATGTGTGTGTGTTTGTGTGTGCGAAGTTAGGGTCTAAGGACGCCTGCCATGAAGTATAATGAGCATCATTCCTAACCCCAAACCTCCCTCCCACAATCCTGCATCCACAGCACAAGGCGGATAAGGTAGTCAAGGGCCGGTTAAAGGAAATGGCTTGAGGGACAGAGGGTGTGGCGCATGCATCCTGAACCCTTAACTGCCACCCCTCAACGTTGCCCAGGAGGGAAACACACCCTGAGCAATGCTCCCTCTAAGCTGCAGAGTCTTGTGAGCAAAAATTCTTCTTTGTGAGCTACTGGCATTAAAGTTGTGAGCGAGCGATTTGTCTGCTGCGCCGCAGCCATCCTTCCTGAGCCAAGACAAAAATGTGTGAGTTGGAGGCTAAAAAAACTGTGAGCTAGCTCACACTCACTCAGCTCAGAGGGAGCACTGACCCTGGGAGCAGCAGAATCGCTGCTAGGTTAATGAGGTCAGATTGTGGAGCTTTGGGGCTACAGAAGGAGGCTCATCTGCCACTGAAAACCATTCCTATCTCACTGTTTCCCTGAAATCCCACTGTTTACACCCCAACCACCAGCAAGAAGAGGATTCCCACATTGAATGCGTAGAGAAAAACTGCTTTTTAAAAAATTCATAAAGAAAAAACACAAATTCGACTGAGCATTCTAGGAAGTATGGACCTTACAAGACCTTAGAGGGATCTGAGTTTGGGGAAGACTGTCCTCTCTTTGATCCTCTTGGCAATCGCTCCGGGGCCCCCAATTTTCTCCTTCTGCCCTTTCATGTCAGACTCACAGGACAGTAGAATAATCCTCTAAAAATATCCCACAGCCAGTGATCGAGGTGGCGTGTAATAACAGGGAGCCTGCCGTCCCTTCCCTCCGCCTCCTGATTAGAGCATCGCAGCAGCCCACCCATCCTGCGGTGCACTCTCGAGGATTTGCTCGCTGGGAGCCAAAACGAGGCACAGAAGCCAATGGAAGCGTACGTGATTATGCACCGGCTAATTCTGGCCTCTGCGGGATTGTGTCTTCTTTCATCTCACAGCCCTCCCGGGGCCAGGGTCTTTGCCCTTTCCTTTCTAGACCCCTACAAAGCACGGGATATGCCAACTCAAAAGAACCGCAGATCTGACCTAGCTCTCTTTATAGCCGTGAGCATTCAAACATTCCACCTTTAAGGGGCAGGCGAACTGTCATGCTAGAGGAATATGGGCTTAGGAGCCCCACATTTCCCTCATAACACAAACACAGGCAATGGAGACATTTGCGGGGGGGGGGTCGGGGGGTCAGCGGGCCAAGCTTGAACCCTCAGGTCCACCTGCTGGCTCTCCACTGAGAAAAGGTCTTCCGGGTCATTTAAGACATTTCCCTCCCCAGCTGCGCTCAAAAGATAAAACGGGGCCGGATTTTTTGGGCATTAGCTCAGAATCCATTTGTGGGGAGAATAAGCAGGTGGACGGAGGGTCAACGTCCCCCCCCCTTCCCATCCGCCCTTCTCAGCAAGTCTCCTGTTTTCCCCCACATTCCCAGAGCCCCGCAGCAAACAGAATTGGGAGCAGGCATCTGCCAAAAATGTCCCGTTTCTCCCAAGCCTTCTTTAAAAGGCTTCTCCCAAGACAATATTAAAAATATTTTCAAGATGATGAAATTGTTAACACAAGTACACTTTTACCAAAAAAAAGAAAAAAGGTTTGAGTCCAGCGGCACCTTTAAGACCAACCGAGTTTTATTCTGGGGATAAGCTTTCGCGTGCACACATGTGCATGCACGTGAAAGCTTATCCCCAGAATAAAACTCGGTTGGTCTTCAAGGTGCCCGACTGGACTCAAGCTTTGTCCTGCTGCTTCAGACCAACACAGAGACCCCCAATTGAAAGAAAAAGTGAACATGCTATTTCCATCTCCACTGTTTCTTACTTATTTATTTACATCCCACCTTTCTTCCAAGCGGGGAACCAAAGCCGCTTACAACCGTTCTCCTCTCTTTCCTTTTATCCGCACAACAACACTGCGAGGCAGCTTAGGAGGACAGTGTGCGACTGGCCCAAGGTCACCCAGCCAGCTTCCATGGCAGGGTGGGGATTCGAACCTGCCTTTCCCAGCTCCCGGTTGGACACTCTACCCACGCTACACCTCTGCAATTTCACACTTGGCAACGGCGCGTCCAGAATTCACTGTCTGCGTGGCAAGTCCCCCACGACAAACATTTCTATTTAATACCTGTACTACAGACTACAAAGCACCTCACTGTCTACCTTACACAGACTGACAGCTACTTCCCAGCCCTCCTAAGCATCCTTCACATTCTTAACCGCAGCGGGATGAGCATTTTAAACCCCACGTCTCCTAAGTGTTCTTGAGAACCAAATGTTCACCTTTTACCGACCTACATCATAGTTACATTAAGTGTTCCCTCTAAGCTGAGTTAGTGTGAACTAGCTCACAGTTTTTTAGCCTCCGGCTCACACATTTTTGTCTTAGCGCAGGGAGGAGGGCTCCAGAACAAACTGATTTATGCAGCAGCCGAATCGTTCGCTCACAACTTTGATGCCGGTAGTTCACGAAGTACAATTTTTGCTCACAAGACCCACAGACTAGAGGGAGCATTGGTTACATTCACAATCATAACAATGAACTCTTCCCAAAATTAAATCGCATGGGGCTGCACATGGAATTAAGGTTCCCAAATAACATGGAAAGGCTTTCAAAAATTAAAGAAGTTCTGCAAAAGGGAAAGAAATCTAGAAGCAATCCAGAAGAAATCTAGAAGTACCATCTTCCACTGGATAAAGTAGCTGTTAATAACAAATGCCCTCCAAATCAGTCACGGAAGTATCCCTACGATATGCGGCTGCCGCCATAGTTCGGACCACCAAAAAGGGGCAATACGTTCTGGGGGAAGGGTTAAGGCGGCCCTGCCCACAGATTCACCTCTGCAATACCTACTGTGTTTTTCAGGGCACAGGAAAACCAACGACTCATCCTAGAGCTCCCAAGTCTCTGCTGCTAAGAACAAACAAGGCATTTGGCACGCAGGTACCAGACGGGGGGAAGCGGCCAGCCAGAGTCCCAGCGAGCTTCTCTGTCGGAAGCTAGAACTCCCCCACCCTCCTGCGTTCCACTTGGGCCATCCTCCGCTTAGCTCGGGTCCCCGGTCAGGTTCCCTCCATCTTCGGGGTCTTCTTCAGACTTCATCGCTCTTGAAAAGGCCGGGCAGCTTTGCGAGACAGCCTCTACCAAGCACGGCTGTCCGTCGCGCCCCCCCCCCCGGGCAGCGTGCCGTGCCAGCTGCTCCGGCTGCCCCTGCCTGGCACCCTACATCAGCCAGCTTTTTGTTTCTGCCGCTCCTGCGGCGCTGAGGACTGACTCCCGCCACCGAGACTCAGACACAGTAAATAGTGCCCAGCTCCAAAATATCCCGTAAACAATATGCAGACAGTTGCACACCACTCCAGAGCTATTTTTTGGCTTGCCTGGTACTTGATAGCCGAGCGATCGAAAGGAATAGCTAATAATACATTCAGTGCATGCTCATCTGTTGAGTAATAGATTACGGTTGCCAGCGGCCAGCGAGGCGGGAACACTCAAAACGATCTGACCACGAGTGGGCGACAAGCCCTGCCAACTGCCCTGCCTAATTAGCTTTGAACTGACGCTTTCCAAGGGGCGCCTCGCAGCCACTGGGACAGAGGGCACTGTAAACACGGGCAGGGCTGCTGTGTCCGACCCGCGACCAACCCGCTCACGGCCGGCCCTGGCTTCGTGACCATACGACTGTGCCTACCAAAGCCCTGACTGCACAGGATGAGGAATGCAAAAGAGTCTATTTCAAATAAAGCATCTCAGAAGTTAAATTAGAAGACCCGCATGCCTTTACTTTTTTATTTTATTTTAAAGAACTCTCTTTTTACAAGCACGAGAGCCCCGTTCTGAAAGCCGGCGGGTTTCGGCTTACTCCTGCTGCCAGGCTGTCTCCCCCCCCCCCCCCCCCCCCC